GAAAATGAAGGCTAATCATGTTTTGGGTGTACTATTCCTTTAATACTTTTAGTTCCTTTTTTTTATCAAAGGCAAAACACATCCACGAAACAGTGCCAGTGACTAAATATTTTTAAGTGGGAAATAGCAACTTCTTTTCTATAAAAAGCATGATTACATTACTTGTTATGTGTCAGCATGTGTAAGTAATTAACTGTATTCTACGTGTAAACTGTTACTTCTTTCGGATGCTTTGTGTCTCTAAATTTAAAGGTAAACTGTCAATAAAAGCTTTTGTGTCTGAATTTGTAAATGTAAGTGAAGAAGCCAGAATAAAATAAGTAGTTCTTTCTCATCAAATCACATCAGATTATTATCTCCTGTTTGTCATGTTTACAATAAACATTTTGATGTGATCAAGTGTTCGATCAAATAATTTGATTTAAATACCAGATTGAGCTCCATCCATTGTGATTAACTTCACTGAATGAAAATAAGCTTGTTTTAAACAAATAGTCCCCATTAAGATAAAAGGTTTTTTATTTTGTGTCTTCAAGGTTTATTGGTTAAATTTTGTTTTACAACATGTACCTGCAGACAAATAAATTTAACTACAGAAAAAAACAAATCCCATTGTTTCCTGATGTTTTCTACCAAATGGTTTCCCATACCTGCACCATATCAAGTGTCAAAGAGTTTTAAAATATGGTTCCAGTCTTTTTTTTTTTTCAGCATCTGATTGCTTTGACTCTAGAACATCTTTCAAATTATTCTTCCATCCTCCAGTCTTGTTCATGTTTTAAATAACATGAAATTGCTTTCTGTTTCTGCCTTAATGCACTTCCTTAATTTACCTCTCCCTGCTTTCTCTTGTTTGTTCCTGACAGGAGGTGAAGTACTTTCAGTTTCCTGGTGAGCTGCTCATGAGAATGCTGAAGATGCTCATTTTACCACTCGTCGTCTCCAGGTACCTACAGTTCCTTAAAACCCTGTAAATCCTGTTGACATTTGTACCAGGTTCAACTCAGTGACCAGCAGGAGAATCAGAACAACATGAACTTTTCCACATTTTGTTTAATTTCAGCCACAAATCTCAGTATATTTCCTGGGATTTTATGTGATCAACTAAAACCACAAAGCACACACAGTAACGCACTTAGAAAATAATAGATTTCCAGATAAATATCTGTGTTTGGCATGCAGCTGTATTCAACCCTAGACTTATTTTTTAGTCTAGGCTTGAATACATTTTTTCTGCTAATGCAGCTTTAAGTCAAGTGTGCATGTGTAAGACCTAAAGTTTCATTTTAATAGCTAATTTAGGCTGGACATTTTGCAAAAGCAATTATTTAGGCCTGACCAACTCATTTACATTTACATAAGGAGAACATTTTATCATTGCAGGCAAAGAACACATTTTGTCAATTGAATTAAAAAAAAAGGAGTACATTTTCAGAGTAAAAATTACAATTTTTTTCAGATTTTGCTGTTTCAAACAATGTTTCCTATTTATTTTTCAAATTTTGTTAAATTTGCTTTGTTTAGATTTTATATTTATTGTAACCGCTTTATGATTTTAATACTTTGGTTGTTAAGTTGTCCAGTTATTTCAGTTATTTCTAATAAAATTCTATCAATATTCTTATGGTACATGTATGCTTTAAGTGGTCTATGTTGCATTGTTTAGCTATAAGCAAGATGGTCCCAGAACAGCAGCAGAAAGACTGATGAAGTATTGGTCACACCTTAAACCTGATCCGGAGAGTGGATGTGAAGGACGGAGGAAGATTAAGAAAAAAAAAATGACAGGAATGAAAGCCTGAGTGAAAGAGAACAGCACATGAAAAGAAAAATATGCAGAGAAATTACATAAGACATGCAAAAAGTCCAAGCAACCCGTCAATACCAGTTCTATGCCAGCCCCCAATCAGCACCGGCCTTATATCACCTCCTGGTTACACGTCCCTCCAAGGAATTAACCCAGTAAGGCTGCTGGGCCAGCCAACATCCCAGAGCGGGTAATAAGGGACTGCAGACCAGCTGAGGTCGCCTGTGGTGGCAAAGAACTGCACATTTTTAATATGTTGTGAAACTTTCTCTCTGCATTCAGCGTACATACGTGGAATAGCGGTGTTTGAAAAATAGACGTTTAACATTTTATTAAATCCTACTCCTTCTACGGTTCGTAGAGGACATAAATCTTTCACCAAGTGAACGATGTTCCACCGTTTACTGCCTTTATCGTTGGGAGTAAGTTTTGTAAATGAATCTGTTAACGTTTGCTGCTTTGGGAGACGGACCATCTGCGGGGAGGGGGTTTAACTGATTTTTCAACTAACGGTCGAACGTCAAATCCTCGGATTACATTCTAGGTGTGAAGTTTTTTTGGGGTAGCATAACAGCAACACTGCAGTTCTGTGGATCCTGATAAAACGGTCTCTTAATAATAACGGATCGTCAGAGGTGTAGATCGTAACACGGTCTTAAATCGTCATATCGCCCACCCCTACTGGCATCTGTCCCGATCTTATTAAAGTCCAACACTTTTCAGCCTGTCCCCAAGCACCCCACATTGACAGACCTGAATGACTATCAACCTAAAGTCTTAACATCTGTGGTCACGAAGTTAAAGGATACTCATTACCTTACTTTAGGGACTCTATCAACGCCACTGTGGATCACATTAGTACGCCTACAGGAGGAACCGTTCCACCACTGAAGACATCTCCTGGGTCCATACAGTCCTCAGCCACCTGGAGGAAAGAAACTCCTCCATCCCTCTCCTCTCCCTGGATTTGTTCTCAGCCTTCAACACCATGATCCCACAGACCTTGGTGCGGAAGCTCTCTTCTCTTGGTCTAAATCCCACGTTGGGGAACCAGGTCCTGTTTGGATCCTTTTCAATCACACTCAGCATTGACTCTCCCCAGGGCTACATGCTGAGCCCCCTCATGTTTACTCAGCTGACATCTAACTGCATGGCTAGACACCCCAGCAATATCTCAGGATGCAACAGGATTAGTGGGATGTATTGCAATGAAAAGTCAAAATACAGAAGGGTTGTTGAACACCAGGTGCAAAGACAATAACCTCTATTAATGTGAAGAAGACTAAGGGGATTGTGTTTCTTTTCCAGAAAGAGTCCCCATACGGAGCTAGTTCACTGGTATCTTTTCTAATACAGAAAGTATTTATAGATCAGTGGTTCTATATTCGTTTTTTAAATCTGCCTCTGTCTCCTTGAACCCCGTTTGGCCTCGGCAGATGGGAGTTTTTCCTCTCCCCTGTCGCTACAAGCATGCTTGGTGTGAGGGATTGGTTTTGAGACAATGAGTCGGCGCAATCAGCTGGTTTTCCTTAGATAGAAAACTTTGAACTAATCTGACTGGATGATTTACTTGAATTGTTTTTGTTAAGTGACCTGAGATGACATGTTCTCGATAAACGCTCACAGAAATATTTAAACACAAGAATTGATTTAAATCAAACTGCTGGACAGAGATCCTTTGGCTAAATATTGAAAAAATAATCTCTCTATATTGTTATCATACAGTGTGTTATGATAACCCACATACCACCAGCTTAATAACCTTAATGATTCAACAACTGAATCACTGAAGCTACGTAAAGTGATTAAAACAAAAGTCGAAATTTAACATAGAACAGCATACTTTCTTAGATTCTCATCTTCTGCCCTGTTTTCTATTATTAATAGTTCAGTTATTAATGCTGTAATTCAGAGTAAAGCTGTTATTAATTTAATATCTACCAGATGTTGTTCTGAAAATAAAAGATTGAATTCATTGTTGGTACGTTAATGATCCATAGCTGTGATTTGGTTCCTTTTAAACTCTACTTTTTAAACAGCCCAGAGCTGTTTGTTTGCAACCGGCACAGATAACATGGAAGAACAGACGTACTGGCACCAACAGATGTGTTAGACGGTTCCAGTTTATTGAGTAAAACTTTTTTTTTCTGTCAACATGTAGAATTGGACTGGCTCCAGAAATGAGCAACAATGTGGTGATCTGAAGGAGCCTGTAATGTGTTTATTTTCTTCAGAGGCTTTGGCTTTAGATTAAAATGTTCCTCTGCTCTTTGTTCCCCATCATGACCCTGGAGATGCTTGGAGAATAAACCTCCATCTCATTTCTACCAGGGACACATCAGAAACATGCAGGACGGGGAGGTTTGACCATGAAAGGATGAGGGCTGCTGCTAAGTGTGATGAAAAAAAAAAGTCCATATGTGACTGAGTGAAATGATTAATATTCAGTTTCAATTCAATTAAGTTTAATTATATAGCTCCAACTCAAAATACATATCATTTAATGGCATTTCATATTAATATTAATGCTATTATGGAAAATAGATTTTTACATTTTTAAACATTAATTCGGCTATTGAAAGTATATAAATATACAGAAGAGGATAAGGGCCACTGGGAAAAAAAGGTAACTGATTTTTTAAATATTATTTCAGTTTAATATATGAAAAAAAGTCAGAAATCCGACTTTAATCTCAGAATTCTGACTAAATTCTGACAGCTAACAAACATGTTAGCATCAGGCCCTAGCCTTGTCTATAGACTAAATTAGCTCTCTTGTTTTAACCTTCTGCTCTTCCAATATTGCAATCACCAGGGACCCCTCGGACACCTAAAAAGTCGCCTAATTTCGTAATTTTTCACCACTGTGTTGCTGGCCCTCCCAAACAACTCACATCTTTGTCAGTGAAGCTGAGTGCTCCACATCTCTTCCTTCATGGCGCCCTTTAATATTAAGATCCACAATTCTGAGATGAAAGTCAAAATTCTGAGAAAAAAGTCAAAATTGTCAGAGTTCTGACTTTTTTTCCCCATATTGAACTGAAATAAAATTCAAAAATAAGTTGTTGTTTTTTTTCCGGTGGCCCTTTTCCTCTTCTCTACAAATTGGCTTGAGGGAAGTCTTTGCATTAATTAAATTCATAAGTGCAAAGATAATGGAAAATATCATATAGATTCATGTTTTTATTACCTGTGAAAAATGCTTTAAATTCATGTTGCTGCAGCTTCCTAAAAATAGGAATTGTCTATTGGACAAATTAATGAGTTGCTCTTTGATAAGACTAGCAGCTGGATCCCAGGGACATGAGGAAGGGACAGAAATGGACCCTGGTGTTAATAATGAAGCCGCATTGAATCGTGACAGGAAAACAATATGAACGGAGAGCAAAACAAGGCCACAGTAAGTTTTGTTTTCAGTAGAACCGCAATCTTGTTTCTTTCTTATGTAATTAAAATTGAATTGGAGCTCACAGCAGATAAGTTCTCCTTGTTGATAGAAATTTTATTCATGCCTCAGTGCAAAAAGACTTTATTAAAGCTTTGACTCTAAGGAAATGTAACCTTTGCCGTCAGTAATGAAAGCTGTAGATGTGTGCTGTTGTTTTTACAATAAAAAACAACAGTAAAAATGTCTAAAAGAATCCATTATTTATAGAAGTTAGATTGGTTTTGAAGTCGACTGATAAAAGGATCACTAACCTTACCATGTATATGGAAATTAGGAAATTTGGAAAAGAAGGATGTGTGATCTCTTCAGTCGTGAAAGACACTTTCTCTCAAACTCGTGTTGTCCCTAAAATGTTTAACCAGCCCCAACTATGAATTTACACCACAAATTAATAATATTAACCCTTTAAAGCCCGATCCAAGAATAAAACAAAACAGAAAATAACTTTTTTTTGGTTTGAAGTCCTTATTTGGCCTTTTAACAAAATATGTAAAAAGAAAAAAACAGAAATACATTTTTGATATTAATAATTTATTACTATGCGATAAGTCAAGATTATTTTTTGTGTAGTCTTCTGTCCTGTTATCAGGTATATCTGATTGTGTACAATAGGATTTTGAGCAAAGTTTTTACCATTAAATTATGCAAAAGGTGTCAGACGCAAAACATTTCAGAAACCGTATGTATCAAATATGATACATTTGGCATTATAGGGTTAAGCTAGCATTAGTTCAAAACCATCTAATTACTGGCTTGCTAATAGAATAGAATAGAGTAGAATAGAATAGAATAGAAAATCCCTTTATTGTCCGACAATGGGAAAATTCTGGTGTTTACAGCAGCAAAACAATTATAGAAAAAATAAAAATATGGACCTTTGAAAATCTATAAGAATAACATAATAGTGAAGAGTTAATAGATAAACAGATAAAATTCTGTACTGTAAAGTGTTTTAACAATATAAACCTGGAGAATAAATAAGCAAGTAGTGGATATTAGAAAATAGCAGCAACATCAGAGATGTGCAAAATGACAGCAGCGTGTTATTTAACTGACTAAGATAGAAAATGTGCAAAATCAGCATGAATGTAACAACTTATTGAGGTTGTTGGGAACAGTGGTGGTTATAAAGTATTACAGCTGCTGGGAGGAAGGATCTGTGATAACGCTCCCTGGTGCATTTAGGGTGCTGTCCAGTTCAGCACCAGCTTCATGCATGGGGTGGGAGACATTATCCAACAGAGATGTTTACTTAGGTGGACACTTTTGTTTCCCACATCCTGCACTGAGTCCAGAGGGCATCGGATCACAGAGCCGACCTTCCTGATCAGCTTATCCAGCTGCTTTCTCTCAGCTACAGATAAGCCATAAAAGATGGCTGATGCCACAACAGAGTCATAGAAGGTCTTTAGGAGCGCTCCCTGCACTCCAGAAGACCTCAGTCTCCTCAGCAGGAAGAGTTTGCTCTGACCTTTCTTATACAGAGCCTCAGTGTTGTGAGTCCAGTCCAGTTTGTTATTCAGGTGAACAACTTGGTACTTTTAAGAGTCCACTATCTCAATATCCGTTCCCTGGATGTTCACCGCTGTCAGTGGGGTGGATCTGCTTCTGCGGAAGTCCACCAGTAGCTCCTTGGTTTTCCCTGCATTAATCAGAAGGTGGTGAATCTCCTCCACCTGTGATGAATAATAGATGAAATAGAAACTTTATTGAGTAATTTATGATCAAATCTGAAATTTGACAAAAGTGCAAGAGACATAATAAGTACTCATACAATCAGTTTTATTTAAAATAGACGCACTGCACAAACTACTCTCAACACCGTTTTTTTTAGTGTCCTATGCATACAGATTCAGAAATGAATAGAAATGTAAATGTCTGGCTGTATCCGAACGTCTGCCTTAACCACTAATTCTCAACCTCTATGTAGAACAGGGACTATATAGGGAAGTTTATAGTGCACTCAGCGGCCGTTCTGACAGATTATCATTACTTTTTGCTCCCTGTTGATCATGTGACTCGGGCTCCTATCATGGTGCATCTTTGTTCTCTCTCACACCCCAAAATAAATCCCATGATGCTTTGCGAGGAGAGCTCTTGCAAACTGCTTGCAAACTATTTTAATCCTACTGCCTTTTTATCCATTAGATGTTCGCACACATATAAAATGCAGTAACGGCTATATAGTGCTCTATACTGGCAGCCTAGTGGTTAGGGCATAGAGCTTGGAATCCTGAGATTCTGGCCCCACTCTAACAGACTGCCACTGTGGGTCCCTGAGCAAAGACCCTATATGCTTTGTCAAAAATAACGCCTAGCTTTCTAAGTCTTGGTTTAGCAGACAAACTCAAGTCGGCCGGATACTGGTGGATACCTGGAATACCCTCATCAGGGGCAATCACCAGCACCTCTGTTTTATCCGAGTTTAGTTGCAGGGATTTTGCACTGAGCCGTTGTTTAACATGCGTAAGACAATTCAGCAAAGACTTAAAAGAGCAGTTATGACCCAGTTGCTACTTTAATTCTGCTACAACACTTAAAAGCATCAGTGTTCATCCTCACTTTGCTTGTTTTATTTTCTTGCATTGAATCTGAGAAACGTAACACAAAGAAGAAGCCATTTCTTTACTCTATCATAGGATCTGACAAAGCCTGAGCTCTGTTTCCTATTAGTGCACAATCATTTGGGGCCAACGTTGGCATGGTAACCAGAAGTGAATACTTATTTTATTTTATACTCATACTTTTCTTTTTACCTATGTTTTATCTATATAGTATGTTTGTTTTTTTGTTGTTTTTTGTCTGTAAATGTAGAACTTATATTCTTATATTAATAATATTCTGCTCCATATTTTCTTCTGATGTTTTTTTTTTTTTGTGATAAAATTTTGTTGAAATAGCGTTAGCTTACGTCGAGGAATCCTATTAATTATATGACCAAATAACCCCAACAGACTCCTGTCGGAGTGAGTCAGCCAATTCTCTCTGGACTCCCTGCTGGCTGTTTAGACGTCCTCCGCCCCCTTATCTCCAACTCTGAGCCCTGCAGACCAGCAGAGCAAAACTAATCTCATGTCCGTCTATCTGCATCTTTATAGGGGAGAATAGCTCTCTATTCTACTGGGATGAAATATAAAGAGTTTGAATTAGTAACTGAAAGTATTTGAAAACATTTCCAGGAAACCTGACGTCATTTATTCCCCATCACAAAAAGCAATAAATTAACTGCATGAACTCATCAGCATCTGGTGAATATTC